ATATATATATATATATATATGTACATATATATATATATATATATATATATATATACATATATATATATATATATATATATATATGTATGTATCAACGAGAGAATGGCCTTAGAATATGGTTCATATATATATATATATAAATATCGAAACTGGTTAAATATATATATATATATATATACAGAGATGTGTGTGTGTGTAACATATAATATATGTATATAAATATATGTACATATATATATCATCATCATTTGGGAGCTAACGCCGGCAGGGGCGCATAGCCACCCTTCGCTTCCACCTGTGAGGGTCTCTCATGGCGAGGCAGGGGCCCGGCCCATTTCTAGCTCCTCACAACAGGTTTGATCGATCTGCCCAAGCCACGACTTTCTTGGTCGTCCCACAGGCCTCCACCACCTGGGGTTGTCGCAGACAGAGACAACCTGGTGGGCAAGGTCATCCTGCGGGAATCGAGCCAAGTGGCCGCATAGCCTGAGTTGGCAATCACAGATTGTGCAAGTAACAGGTCCTGTACCGGTCTCATGGTGCAACCGTTGGTTGGACACATGGTCCCACCAACTGTACCCAGTGATCCGGCCCAAGGATCTGTTATAAAAGGAGATTCTAAGGCACAAGATAGCATCCACGATTCACTGCCATATAGTAAAACTGGCAGTATCAGGGCCTTGAAGACACATAGCTTGGTCCTTCTGCACAGGTACCGGCATCTCCAAATACTCTTGTCAAGAGATTTCATGACCCCTGCTGCCAGGCCAATCTGTCTACTGACTTCCTGGTCTGACAGCCCCGAGTCGTGAATTGCACTACCGAGGTATATAAAACTCTCTGTAACTTCGATGTTTTCACCGCAAGCACGTACCGACAGGGTCTCCTAGTAGGCCCCCAAAATCCAGGATCTTGGTCTTGGTCCAGAAGACCTCTAGCCCCAGGGGCTTCGCTTCATTGCTAAATGCATCAGTTTCCAGAGATTCAGAAAGGATGGCAACATCAGCAAAGTCAAGGTCAGTAACCTTGATATTGCCCAGAGATGCTCCACAGTGACTTTGGACAGTAGCTCTACCCAGTATCCAATCCATGCAAGTGTAGAAAAGAGAGAATGGCCTTAGAATACGGTTCATATATATATATATAAATATTGAACTCCGCCACAGAGGGGTGCAAGCCAGCACAACTCGGTGCCAGTCCCAAGCCTGGATAGAGGAGGGTTGACGTCAGGAATGGCATCTGGTCATAAAACATTGATGATGTGGACACAGATAGATAACGAGAATGCTGGGACGTCCTCCATAGACGATGTTCAACCAGATCGCCGTATGGCTGTGACAAGTGGGCTATGGCTACCGTATCAGGAGCGGATACGGCTAAAGAAGCTAGCCCAAAGAAGGGCCAAGAACCAACAGAGGAGTAGAGACCTGACACTGGCAACACTGAATGTGGGGTCAATGACGGGCAAGGGAAGAGAGGTTGTTGACTTTATGGAGAGAAGAAACATCAACATCCTGTTTCTTGGAGAAGGCTACAAGCTTTTCTACATTGGTGAAAACAGCAAGAAAAATGGCATCGATAGAGGGCCAGACTGTAAATGTTGCTAGTGCTTATGCACCACAGACCAGGAGAAAGACCAAGAGAAAGAGGCTGCTCAGTGACTACCTTCATACAGTAACACCGAGTGAGCGACTGTGGCTTGGAGGAGATCTCAATGGCCACGTGGGGACAGACATCAGAGGGATGGAAGGACACATGGGAAATCATGGCTATGGAGATATGAATGAACAAGGGGAGCAGATCAGGAGCATAGCAGAAGCCGCGGATTTGGCCATTATTAACACCTACTTCTCGAAACTAAATTCACAGAAAGTCACTTACTCCATTGTAGGGAGAAAATCAGATTGATTTCATCTTGACCAGAAGGAAAAACTTGAAGGATAACAAGGACTGCAAGGTACTGCCGGGGGAAGCAGTTGCCACCCAGCACAGACCACTTGTCTGTAAGCTTAGACTAGCAGCGTCGAGGCAAGTACCGCAGTATAGAGGAGAAAGGAAGATCAGGTGGTGGAAATTGAAGAAAGGGAAATGTAGAGATGTGTTTGTGAATAAAGTTTTGAAGGAAATAGATGGCAAAGAAGTGACATGGAATGCGTTGAGTGAGGTGATGAGGACGGGGAGGCGTGTAAGAGATGTAAGAGAGGTGGCGAAAGCAAAAGATATGGCATAAAGGGAACTATATGCGAAGCTGGACAGCAAGGAGGGACAATCAATGGCCATCCGGATAGCAAAGAGAAGGGACAAGAACTCGGCGGATGTGAGGCAGATCAAGGTGATTAAGGATGAGGATGGCCAGACCCTCACTGATGATGCAGAGATTAAGGAGCGATGGAGGGCATACTTCAGGAAACTGTTAAATGAGGAAAATCCCAGAGAAGAAATAGTAGTACCATCGGGAAATGAGAGGATAGTACGCAGAGTCACTCAGGGTGTCAGATGAAGAATGGAAAAGCAACTGGGCCAGATGGTATACCAGTAGAGGCATGGAAATATTTCGGCGAGCGGGGCATAGGGTGGCTACAGGCGATCTTCAACTCTGTGCTAGAAACAAGAAGGATGCCGGACGAGTGGAGAAGCAGTATCATCATACCCATTTATAAGAACAAGGGAAACGTGCAGAACTGTGGTAACTACTGCGGCATCAAGCTCACCTCACATACCCTAAAGATCTGGGATCAAGTGTTAGAAGCGAGGCTGAGAACAATGGTGCATGTTGGAGAAGAGCAGTTTGGCTTCATGCCAAACAGGAGCACCACAGATGCTATCTTCATTCTGAGGCAGATGATAGAGAAACACAGGGAAGGACAGGAGAACCTGCACTGCACTTTCATAGATCTTGAGAATGCGTACGATCGGGTGCCTAGGGAAGAACTGTGGGTGTGCATGAGAGGCAAAGATCCCTGAAAGCTATGTAAGAGTGGTGCAAGACATGTATGAAGGGTGCACTAGGAGAGTCAGAACTGCATGTGGAAAGACAGAAGAGTTTAAGGTGACAGTGGGATTACACCAAGGTTCAGCAATCAGCCCATTCCTCTAACAAAGTCGCAGGAAAAGAAACTAGAGGTGGCAGTGATGAGGATGAGATATGAAGTCGGAGTAACTAGGTTGGACAAGATCAAGAATGAGACTACTAGAGATATACTGGGAATTTAGCAATACGGTGAAAAGATCCGAGAGAGTTGACTTAGTTGGTTCGGGCATGTGTATAGGAGGGATGAAGAGTACGTGGGGAAAAGAGTTATGAGTAGGATAGTCAGAAGAAGAAAGAGGGGGCGACCCAAGAGGTGGTGGATAGATTGCATTAGAGACATGAGAAGTGTCGGGCTACAGGAAGAGGATGCCGCACCGGCAACCCCACACAGGGAACAAGCCAGTAGAAGATATATATATGAATATTGAAATATTTATATATATATATATATGTATATATGTGTTTGTGTGTGTGATATATACACATATATATTGTCCATATATATACTTGTATGTGTGTGTGTGTGCGTGTGCGTGGAAGATATATATAAATATTGAAACCGGTTAAATATATATTTATATATATATGTATCTATATATATAACTGTGTGTGTGTGTGTGTGTGTGATACATGATATATATATACATATATATATTGTCCATATATATACATGTATGTGAGTGTGTGTGTGTGCGTTTGTGTGTGTGGGTGTGCATGTGTGTGCGCATGCATGTGTGTGTAAGACAGGCTGTAGAGCCTTAGTACTTAGTGCAATGGCTGTGACTTGTTGGGCAGTGATAGTTGTTAAACTGCTTGACCCTTTATTAAGGAAGGGTACAACACAGTAAAAATAATACATGAGACGTTGTCTTAGGGTAAGCACTATGTGCGGTGTTGCATGTCCAACCAGCCAGCCCAGGGGGGGCGGAGGCTGGAGAGATGACCAGGGCGTGATGACTTCTGGGAGCGAACTGAAAGGTCAGACGATGCCAGATATAATCGTCATCTCGCTGAGGCGAATGGTTCCAAATGTAACAAATACTCACATCGTCTTTTGGTCTAATGGCTTACACAAATAGTGCTTATGTACATGCCATATTGTTCGGCCCTCGAGGTGTTAGTAGGTGGCGTGTGTTGTCTTTGGTCCATCTTCGTAGCTGCTCGTCCTTGTCCTCTTCTTCCTGGTCCTTGGTGTAATCCGTTCCTCCTTGACATCTATACACTTTCGAAGTTCTCGTACAGGTCCTCCTAGGCTTTGGATTCATCTAGACTTCCTCGCAGTCTTCGTCCAGGCCTAATTCGGCGGCATACTCGTCTCCACATCCTCGCAGATCTCATCCATGTCCTTCTCGACTGCCTGCTCATCCAGACATCCTCATAACATTCATCTGGATCTACGGGCGTCCAGGCAGACGGCGTCCTCTTCGACATCTTATTGCAGCTGATACCTGCACTCACGAGCTTGACTAGATCTGCGGGTGTCCAGGCAGGTGGCGCCTTTCTACAGCTTCCTGTGGCGATGGTTCGAAATTGACTTAGAGCCACATGGCAAACACTCATTGTTTTTTTGTTTGTACAAATCGTGCTATGTACATCCTGAGAATGGTCAAACGCATTCAGTGTCACTATCTCCCACTAGCAGGGGTGACCAATAAGGGTGGCGTACCCATGGCATCGCCGCCGTACTGACCTAACTACGCCCACTGCGCTCACGAACCCTGACCGTAACCATGACACGTACAATCTCTCTACGTCAAGTTACGGTCCCGCTCGGACGGTGCCTCCTCCCGGGACCCCCCCAGGGCCCCCCATCCTGCTGGGCCTACTCGCTGCCCAGGTCTTTGCTCTGCACAAGCCGGCCAATTGGTATCTTCAACCTCCGTTCACGCTAAGCTACCGTACACCTTCACCAATAAACACTGCAACCAGATCGTGAGTTTAAGCCAACCAAAATCCTGGTATCTGGTGA